TGGAATCTGGCAGTATGAGATATGTAAATTGTTCTCTCATATGTGAGGTTGTCTTCCAGTTTGTCATTCTTTCATGAGCTGAATTCTGTATTTATATACATATACAATATAATTGCATTAACAGCATGTAGTTTTTGCACTATCTGAAACGTGCAATTATCATATTCCTGTTTTGTAATTTTTGTAAATTAAATGTCCTTAAGCTTTAATTTATGGGATAATTACTGATCGTGTCTCTTCTATCCTGACCTTACACATTTATGTAATTTTGAATGTAACATAGGGACCAAGCATCTTTCATTGCTGTGAACAGAAAACTAGACTAGTACAGTGAGTTGTGGATGAGCTTTTTGTATGTTTAGGATCATCAGGAAGCACGTGGACTGTGAAGTTGTCAATGGTAACATACCAGCCTCATGCTGATTTAGAATCCACATTGCTAAGGGCAGGCCTAGTGCAAGCGGTAGAGACTTACCGCCTGTGACCGGAAGGTCCCGGGTTCGAGTCGTGGTCTCCTCGCATTGCACAGGCGAGGGTAAGGCTTGCCACTAACACCCTTCCCCAGACCCCGCACAGAGCGGGAGCTCTCTGCACTGGGTACGCCCCTTTATTGCTAGTTTTCCCCCCTTAGTTGTTAGGTTTGCTGAAGCTGAATAGTAAAATAAGTTATTTACCATGTCTCAGGTGGAGATATATTTGGAAAAAGTGAGGTGAGTATTTGGTAGAGAATTTCTCATACTTCCTCTCTAGAAATGTTGTTTAAAGTGCTGCTATGGAGAGGATCAATTTTTATCTGTTCATATCTCAGGGACCTTCTTGACTTGTCCAAAGACAACCTGCTGATCAAGGAAAGTAAAACCCAAGGAATTTACATTTCTGGAGCAACAGAGGTCAGAATGAAGGACATGGCACCTTCCTTCCATTCTAATTTTCTGTGATATTCAGAAAGAAGTACTTGGCATCAGGACCTCCATGCTTTCACTTTAATGTCTGGTATCTGTTCAATTACCCATGCAGATGTCTATCCTGAACAGTTCAGATGCATTAGAGAACCTTTATGTAAGTCTTCTTGAGCTTTACTTGGAGTGCCTTTCTATAAGTAGATACTAATTTAGCTTTGTTGACCTATTTAAATTACAGCAAGGAATTGCCAACAGTTACACCTGTCATCAATATTCGCATTTCTAAAGTGCATATAATGGAGCAGTTACAGTATGGCCCTATAGGGTTGCGAAGGCGCTGAACTTGATATTTAATACAGTAGAGCTTGTATTGTTCTACACGCCTTTTAACATCAGTACATACTATTCTGTTACAATCCTAATTCATGTTTTTTGTGATTGACAGCTTGTACTTCTTGGAAGTCAGCTTACCAAATGAGATAAGCTTGTAAGCATGACGCTCAAGTACTAGGATGTCATCTGAAGCTGTGAGCTTGTCAGTAGATCCTGATTTATTGTGCTAACTCACCTTTTTCTCTGTTTTTTTTATTTGTGTCCGCCAAAACCAAGTTTGCATTATCAAATAGTAACAGTTGCACTAATACAAATGTGCAATTTTATTATGTGTGGTCTGAGTTTTTCAGCATCATTTAGATGATTCGTTCTTTACTCAGTAGAAATGATTATGCTTTCATTGTTATGCAGTTCGTAATGTCTTCTATCTATACTTGAGTGTGTATTCAACAAATCATCATGAAATACTAATCCTACTTTAGTGACAAGAGAGAGGAGGGGCCATGCCTGATTTTGTGCAAAGTGTTGTGTGTCAGTGTGATCTCCAATAGCAGATTATAGAGCATTACAGAACAAAGGACATGAAGGCAAAAAATACAAAATTCTGTAGGTTAGGACCTTTTCCCTTGACTGATCTTCGTATCCTTTCTTCTTCTTCATGTTTTGGTGTTTTTTCTGTGCATTTATTTACTAATTTTCACCCTTTTCTCCACTCTCGTGCTCTTTCTGGATCTAGATTTGATCGGCATGCTGGAGGGTGTAGTGGCAGAGTTGTAATTTTCTGTGTATGCATGTACGTGTGTTTATTGGGCCGATAGTTTCATTTTGGCCCAAATGAGCACCAACTTCAGTTAGCGGGTATCAGATCATGCGCCCGTTAATGTTTGGTGGGTTGATTCGCGGACCCGATAAGTGGCTGGGTGACAGAAACGACTACAACAGATTCTGACCAATGGATGTACATCTAAAGGCTGTTAGCCATCGCCTGAAAAGTTGTTATATTTCAGGCACCTGAAATATAGCAACTCCCCACTTTAAACGCTTACAACAGTTTCACAATATTATTATAAACGGAAAAAGAAAGACAATACATTGAATACGAAGAACTCCTTGGTGCAGGATTCTAAGATTCGACCCGCACGCCTCAATCATATGATGTTTGCGATCATCCATGAGCTGCAATAGAGCCTAGAACTGAAGCTAGTACGTCCCTCTGAGTTGAAGCTACAAAAACATTTTTGGGTGACATTTATTAAACACTATATCATTCCTGGTTAGCCAAATATATATCCCAGCAAAAAGCTACAACCATAGTCAATAAGGTCATATTATCGTTTTTGCCCCCCCAACTTCGACCAACTTCCAAACATACAGTAAGAATGTCGAGGTGGTTTGATTCTGAACACAATGTGGACCGCATGCCAAAGGAAACATGGTTTTTAATTGGAAGGAAAGAACAAGAGAACCAATCACCGACAAAAACCAAAGGCAGCTTGGTTACTAGTTTGCAGAACAAGAGATGGAGGATTGGGAGTCCTTAACATTAAGACCCAGAATGAAGCTTTACTAATCAAATAGTTACATAAATTCTTTAATAGAGAAGACTTTCCTTGGGTCTCACTAATATGGGAGAACTACTACAGCCCTGGCAAGTTGCCAGGTAACTCAAAGAAAGGCTCTTTCTGGTGGAAAGATGTGCTCAAGCTTTTAGACAAATTCAAAGGGATGGCAAAGGTCAACATCAATGATGTAAAATCCTGTTATTTCTAGGAAGACCAATGTGGAAGTGATGATCTTACACATAAATGTTGGAGGTAACACAGACTTGATTAGCTTGAACAGCCACTCACCCCAGGCTGTCTCCTTGATTATATATAGAGATAGACATTGCATTGATTACAAACACTCACTAGAGCATAGCTAATCGATAGGTGCCTTGGCGTACCCAGTACACACCTCTTGGGCTGCCCAAGGTCTTTAATGACTGTAATTAACTAGCATAGTTATCTAGGAATTGCTTAGGAAGCAGGGCTTATTAACTACATTTCTCCCCTAAGACCTCGCTTCAACTAATCTTGATCTCCTTGATCCCAATCCTGCTCCTCATCTCTTCCAAATTTTGGTTTTGCCCAAGGCTTTAGTCAAGATATCGGCAAATGAGCTGATCTGCAGTGGGAATGAACTTTGTCTTGATGCTACCTTCTTCCACACAATCTCTGATGAAATGATGCTTGATTCTAATATGCTTGCTCCTGTCATGGAAAACAGGATTCTTTACCAAAGCCAGAGCAGACTTATTTGTCTACTCTAAGTTCCACCACCTCAACTTTTCTTCCCAACAATTACATAAAAAAGTCTTGACAACCACAAAGCTTGGGTTGCAAATGTTGTCATCGCCACATATTCAGCCTCACAGCTAGACAGAGCAACAACTCTCTGTTGACAGATCGCCAAATGACCAGTGCGGGTTCCAAGGAAGAACAAACATCCAGGTTGTGCTTTTGCTTGAATCAACATCTCCACCAAATCAATCATCAGAACCCACAAACCTTGCTTTGCTGTTTTGTTCGGTGTAGCAGAGCCCATGATCTAGAGTACCAGCCAGTATCTCAAGATCCTCTTCACAAACTGAGATGTTCAGGTTGTTGGCTTCTCCGAAATATGCTAACATACCCTACAGCAAAAGCCAAATCTGGTCTTGTGTGCACTAGGTATCTCAAGCTGCCAACCAGTCTTCTGTACTGAGTTGGATTTACTTCCTTTGCTGTGCTTTCCTTGCTCAATTTCAACCTTTCTTCCATGGGTGTGGTGGCTGGATTACAACCTGCCATACCACCCAGCTCAAGTATCTTCTTTGCATAATGGGTTTGCTTCAGAGTGATGCTCCCCTCTGATTGTCTCACCTCAACTCCCAGATAGAAAGACAGAAGACCCAAATCACTCATTTCAAAGGTTTGCTTCATCTTTGCCTTGAAAGCTTCAATCTTCTGCTGATTGACTCCTGTGATGATCAAATCATCAACATAGACTCCAATTACCAGTAGGGAGTCACCTGATCCCTTCCTGTACATAGCAGCTTCATACACATTCTGCTCAAAACCCATTTGCTTGAGAGTCAAGTCAAGCTTGGCATTCCATGCCCGAGGAGCCTGTCTTAGGCCATACAGAGCCTTGTGCAGCCTGTACACTTTCTTCTCCTCTCCTGATACTACAAAACCTGGAGGCTGTGTAACATAAACCTCCTCCTAAAGTTCTCCATTCAAAAATGCAGACTTCACATCCATGTGATGTACTGCCCATCCCTCTTGTGCTGCTAGGGCAAGCAAAACACGCACTGATTCCATCCTTGCAACCGGTGCAAAAGCATCTTCATAATCAACTCCTTCCTGCTGCACAAAACCACGGGCCACAAGTCTTGCCTTGTGCCTAATTACAGCTCCATGTTCATCCTTCTTCAGCTTAAACACCCATTTCAGTGAAATTGGACGGTGACCAGGACGGGGAGAAACAAGTTCCCAAGTCCCATTCCGCTCTACTGATCTCAGCTCCTCCTTCATCGCTGCTTGCCAATCTGGATCATCTTTGGCTTCTTCATAGCTTGTAGGCTCACCAGAATGGGTGAGATTCAGTTCTGCAAACAGCCGCTGCGCCGGCGGAGGGGTTGGCTGATCACCAATAATGTCATGAATCTTCCGATAGCGGAGTTCTTCATCGTCGTGGTAGGCATCCACCCTTTCATCATCATCCTCAAGGGGGGTCACATGCTCAACCTGAGGACTTGCTGGAGCTGGTGTAGGTGTTCTGGGCGACGCAGGCGCCTCTGCCTCCACTGCGGGCTCCTCTGTTTCCACTGTAGGCTCTCCTGCATTCACCGGAGAGAAACCAGGCGATGCAGGATGTGGCGGAGGAGATAGTGAAGGCGACGCTGAACTTCCTGCTTCAGGGAGTTCCTCCGCCCATGGGAATTCAACAGTAAACTCACTGCTCGCTGCTTCTGGTGTGCCTGCTGCCGGTGATGCCCAGTCCCAGCCACGGCCTTCGTCAAACACCACATCGCGGCTGACACACACGCGTTGGGACACTGGATCATAGATACGGTATGCCTTGGCCCCTTCCGCATAGCCGATAAACACGCCAGCCTCGCCGCGGTCATTGAGCTTGCGAAGCTGAGTAAGCCGTCGGGTATAAGCCACACAGCCAAAGACCTTGAGGTGGTCGACTGTTGGTGCCCGGCCGTGCCACGCCTCATAAGGAGTGACATTCTTCAGTGCCTTCGTCGGGGATCGATTCAGAATGTGCACAGCCGTCATCATAGCCTCCCCCCAAAACCGAGAGGGCATCTGGCGTTGCTTGAGCAAAGCTCGTTCCATGGCCACCACTGTTTGGTTCCTGCGCTCAACAACACCGTTCTGTTGTGGTGAATAAGGGGCACTAAAATGCCGTTTAATACCTTCATCAGCGCAGTATGCAGTAAACTCTGCGACAGTGAATTCGCCGCCATTGTCGGTGCGCAGGACCTTCAACTTGCGCCCGCTTTCCACCTCTGCTGCCACCTTGACCTTCTTAGTTGCTTCTGCTGCTGCGTCCTTGGATGGCAGCAACACAGCCCACATAAAGCGGATGGCGTCATCGACGAGCAGCAAGATATAACGGTTGCCCGCCGGGTGTCAGCCGGGCGTGACCGGACCAAGACAGGTCACCGTGCACCAGCTCAAGCTGATTCTCGGCACGGAGGTCATGCTGCAATGGAAAAAACGCCGCCTCTACTTGGTGGTAACGCAGGTGTCACACACCTGCTCAACATGGTCAACCACCAGCATCCCGCGTGCCATCTCCTCCTTGCTGAGTCGCCGGAGTGCGTCGAAGTGCAGATGGCCAAAATGCTCGTGCATCGCGCACGCCTCTTCATCCTTATGCGTGCAGAGAGGCGAGAGGTTGTGCAGCCTCAAGATGCGAATATACAACCTATTCTTCCCTCTGTACCCTTGGCGAGCGACGGCGGGCTCTTGTCCCAAATGCGGCACGCCATCGCCAATCACAACCTTGGACCCTCCTTCATCAAGTTGTCCCCCGAGACTTAGGATAGAGTTCTTCAAATCGGAATGAAGTAGACGCCATGAAGAACCCTCTCGCCACCGGTCTTGGCTTGGAAAACAATAGACCCGACGCCCTTGATCTCTACCTTCGACGCGTCCTCGAACCGGACTGTTCCTCGAACGCCAGTGTTCAGATCAGCAAAGAACTCTTGGTGCCCGGTCATGTGATGCGTCGCGCCGGAGTCCAGGTACCAGCCGCTGTCCACCTCTTCTTCGTCCCACGCCGAGATAGGCGCGAAACACGTGGCTCGGAGAACTCGACGTCTTCGCGCCGTGTAGTAGGCGCGCGCCGGCGTTCTGCTCTTCGAGCTAATGAAGCCATGTGCCAGAAATAGAGCGCCATCTTCATCGCACTCGGCGTACTGGGCGCGCGCCTCATGCCTTCCTTGGTTCCCGCCACGCTGCCCAGCCTGATTTCCGCCGCCACGACCTCCACCACGATTGCCACCGCCACGGCCAGCATGGTTTCCACCTCCACCACCGCGCTCTGCATCTTCACGGCACGGCTGGGGACACTCACGTGCCCAGTGGCCCTCCTAGTTGCGATTGAGGCGGTGTTGGGGCGCGCGACCAAGAACATTGCCATCTCCTCGTCCGCCACCACGCCCACCGCCTCGCCTCGTCCTCGCGTCCACCACCGCTACGCGCCCATCGCCACCGTCTTGGGTTCCTCGAATCCGAACCACCGGCATCATCTCCTTCTTCTCCTTCCTCCAGCCGCGCTCTCCACTGGCTCCTCGGTGTAGAGCAGCTTGCCGTTGATGGCCACCGCTCGGTCAGCGCTTGTTCCTCGCGATTATCCACCGCCTTGAGCCTTCTAGTCACCTCCTCAAGAGTGAGTGCCTCAAAGTCGAGGAACTGCTCAATGGCGACAACAATCTGCAGATTGGTCGGGCACTGCGTCTTGCGAAACTTCTCCACCACACGCTCCTCAGTGATGTCCTTGTCACCATGAATGACAAGCTGCTGGTGCAGAGTTGACAGACGCAGGGCGAAATCCTCCACTTGCTCGCCGGGGTTGACGCCGATGTTCTCCCAGCCGCGGCGTAGGCGCTGCAGCGTTGCTCGACGGACCCGGTCCACGCCGATGCGAGTCGCAGCGATGGCGTCCCACGCCTCCTTCGCCGTAGCCTTGTCGAGGAGTGGGATGCCCATCTCCTTGGGCACGGCCCCGACAATCACCTCCAGTGCACGCCTGTCATCGCGAAACTGGACAGGGCCGCCCTCGATGGCGTCCCAGAGATCGCGCGCCTGCATCCTCAGCTTCATGGTCTGACTCCACTCGTAGTAGTTCGACTTGTCCAGCATCGGCCACGATGTGCTGCTACCGGAGTCGCGGTACACCACTCTGCCGTGCGGTGATTCGTAGCGACCGCCGCCGCGGCCGCGCCTCCGGTCCCGCAGTGGTGACTGCGAGCGCCTCCTGTCTCGCGACGGAGTCCGCAGCCCCCGATTCCTGCTCTCCGCCTCCTCTTCCTCCTCCTCTGCATCCTCTTCTTCTCCCTTCTCAGCAGCAATTTCGGCCCGCAGCTCCTGCGCCGTCCTTGCTGCCGCCTCTGCAGCAGCCGCCGCCTGCTTTGCTGCCTGGACTGCCAGCGCTGCTGCTTCCTCTGCAGCCTTCAAGCGCGCGGCACGGCCGGAGGAGTCGCCCAGCTCTCCATCGCCGGTTCCCTTGGCCTTGAGCCTGGCAGCGCGCTCAGCAGAGGTCGACATGGGGTGGAGAAGGTGAGGAGTTGGCCTCGTGGCTCTCTGGTGTCTAACCTCTCTCTGATACCAAATGTTGGAGGTAACACAGACTTGATTAGCCTGAACAGCCACTCACCCCAGGCTGTCTCCTTGATTATATATAGAGATAGACATTGCATTGATTACAAACAGCTCACTAGAGCATAGCTAATCAGATAGGTGCCTTGGCAGCCGTACACACCTCTTGGGCTGCCCAAGGTCTTTAATGACTGTAATTAACTAGCATAGTTATCTAGGAATTGCTTAGGAAGCAGGGCTTATTAACTACAATAAATACCCAGAGCTGCTCACCTTTGAAAGAGGAAAGATACTAGTACCTCTTCATAGTCTTTTTCATCTATCCCTATCCCAACAAGCTCATGCACAGATGGCACAGGTACAGAGAGACCTCCATGAGATTACTTTAAACGATATGCCCGATAGTTGGTCATATATTTGGAATTTCAGGACTTTTTTTCAGTAAGAAAGGCCTACAAGCACTTAAGTGGTCACTGATACTACACCCAGCCTTCAACTGGAACTGGAAGAGCTCTTGTCAAAACAAACACAAAATTTTCTTTTGGCTATTACTAAAGGAGAGGCTCAGCACAAGGGATTTACTGAAAAGGAAAAACATGACATTACAAGGTTACAATTGTCCTCTATGCAATGGTTCTGCAGAGGAAACACTAATTCGTATGTTTATTCATTGTTCTTTTACCACACAATGTTGGGCTTGGTTAAAATTCAGGTGGACCATAGTATCGGTCCCTTCCAAGCTTTACAAAGTTTTAAAGATCAATTACATGTGCCTTTCTTCATGGAAGTCATCATTTTAATGTGTTGGACAATTTGGAAAGCCAGGAACGACCTCATACTCCAATGGTCAAATCCGACATTGCAAATTTCAAAAGGCTACATCAGGATGGAGCTCGTGCTGTTACTTCTCTGAGCCAAGAAAACCTACTCGCCTTAGATCAATCAATGGATAGCAAATCTTTCTTAGCTTGGATCATGTTTTCAGTCTCCTTCCCTTACCCCTCTTGTAACCTTTTCTCTGTACTTGTTCGCTGCCTTTAGCAGCTTTTAATCTATTTTGAGCAGGGCCTTGCCGCTCCTGTTTCCCTAAAAAAATGTCGGTGCGTTGCAAGATAAAATACAAGGTCCTGGAAATGATTCTACTAGAGCACCAGTGCAATTGGTTAACAACCAAGCCTTAGAAAATCTATGCGCTCCTGGCACGCTTTGTAATTTTTTCCGTTAACATATCTTTTGAAAAAATATATTTTGATCTCTCCCTATTTTGACATAGCTCCAGCCTAGCAGCAACCAACTATCATGTCCTAAATGAGAGGCTGGTTTCATAGGGAACCTCATAGCCGATGTCGATTTGCCGCGAGGAGATTGATCTAGGGTACGCCTCCCGTTCTCCTCCCGATGGGCGTGGTGATTGGAGGTGTTCATGTAGCATTTGCGTAGATGAGAGCGGCCATCATCGTCCTTCTCCTCCTCCGACTCGACTTACTCAAGAAGGAGTTGGTTGCGGCTGTCGAGGAACCGAAAGAACTCGGCGGGATTGATGAGGCTGGGTGGATCGACCATGAGATCGTTGGCATCGATATCGGCACCGTCCGACCCTTCCTGCTCGGTGCCTCCCTTGCTGAGATTGCGGATGATCACTATGATGCATCGTTGGTTGAAGTCATCATCACTGCTTGACCAGTCAGGTTGATCTGGGTCATGATCTTCAGATTTCTTGGTACGAGGTTCGGTGGGTACCACTGTGGCCTATCGAAGCCAGCTCGAATGTGTCGCCAGCGCGGTCCTTAGCCCGGTTGGAAAACCAGGGAGGACGTGGTCGGGTAGCAATGATGGATGTGCCTCAAGGACCCAGTTCGTGCTCTCGATCGGCTTCAGCGAAGACGTCGCGGCATTGCGGCTTAGGTGGCGGGCGAGAGCGAGCGGCTCTCCGTGGATAGCTTCCTCCAGTCCGGCAACGAATGCGCAGACCGGGGTGGCTGCTCCTCTTGTTGTGTTGGCGATTCGGGTTCTTGTAGACGCAGGTTCCTGAGTTGATCAGCGATGAAGTCTAGGTTGTCGAAGGTGATCTTCTCGCCTGACTGCATTTTCTTCGCGTCGTCGCCGATCTTGAAGATGAGGCCCATCTGAACACAATGAATCTATCCGTGAAAGGCCCCCTACCTAACGCGCCAACTGTCGGAAGAATTAGTGTTGACATACCTAGCAGCGTATTCGCGTATAGAGAATCAAATGGGTAGCACATAAGACACATGGGTTATACTGGTTCAGGCACATGGTCCCATACATCCAGTTTGAAGTAGCTTCTCTCTGTAATCGTATGCTCGGTTACAGGGGCTACTGCATGTAGCTGTTCTCTAGAATGTAGAAGATGGATCCCATCGAGAGGCCCTTATATAGTCGGGGGTAGTGTTACAATGGATCCGATCAGCTAACAGATGTGTTTTCTAGTTTGTTACGTAGAAATCGCAACAGAATGATTCTATCCTATCACCTAAATATGATGGTGCCGGATATTCTCGGAATGACTTGATCTCCAAGCTTGTGGATTCGCCTGACTTGCGTGGGCCTCACTCCTCATCGTCTTCGACCTGGTAGATAGGCATGGATTGGGTATTACGGATGGTGAAGGTATCCTGAGCCTATATATCTGACACCTACCTTTTGTACCTAAGGAGCACTAGTTTTAGCCTTGCCGCCACTACTACTGATGACATCGTGGCCTTTGATACGGAGGATGATGAAGGCATGGGTTGGGATAACAGATTTAATGACCGTGATGCGATGCCACCCTGTATAGATAGAAAAGCGTAGAGAGAGGGAGAGTATGGAGATGGAGCTTGAAGAGAGAGGATGAAAATATATATGGAGCTGTATGTTCATATATATATTTTTTGCAGGGGAATTATATTAAAATTTGGCATAGTACATCTCTAAATTAAATATGAAAAATCTAAAATAAAAAATACATAATATTGTATGCAAATTCTCCCATTGTCTTCTTTCCCAAAGATCCCAACCTTCTTGTCTTCGGCAGACGCACCGAAGAGGAAGGAGAGAGGCCCTAGGCGCGGCGATGGCGAGGATCAGGAGATGCGGCAGGCGGCGTGGTGGCGGTGGCTCGCGTAGGAGACGTGCGTAAAGATACGATTGTATGTTCATATATATAGTTAGAATACCTGGTGCCCACAGTAGAAATTCTTGGTCTGCCGCTGATTGAAATACTCCTAGATCAGATTAACACACAAGATTGAAAAGAGTTGGTCATTATCCCCCCTATAGTATACACACTTACACATGTTGTTTAGTTGGAGCCCTGGTACACAATTTGGCTAAACTTCATTCTAGGCCTCCAAAGTTCTTAAACGCCTGGTATTGTTGCCAGGCTCAGACAGCTTTTACTAGCTCCAAACGAAACAGAGCCTGATCCTCGAACAAAATCGAAGAATTTGAAGTCGATAAGAAGAAAGTGTTATCTTGTTCAGTCAATAGTCTCTACCGGAGGTGCTCCATTGCCTGTTTCAGGATAGGTTTGAGCCTCTCTATGTTGATCCGCACATCCTGCTTCCCCAGGTACCACTCTGCAACGTTTCGCCACCCGCTCATGTGCACGGCGACGGGGTCCTTGATGATGGGGTGGTCCTTCCCGAACACGTCCATCAGCGAGCTCTCGTCGGCCTGGATGTTGTACTCGATGTACCGGAGCCCCATGTCGCGGGCGGGGTCGCCGAAGTCGGCCCGGGCGATGTCCTCCAGCCGGCCAAATGGCACGATCTGCACGAGCACGGCGCCCGTGGGCAGGTACACGCAGTTGGTCAACCCGGCCCCGTGGATGCCCAACATCACGTCGAAGGAGTTCACTTCGCGCGCAAACTTGTCGTAGTTGGTCCTCGGCCGGCCGGCAACGGTCACCATGAATCCGGCGGCCTGCGCTGCAGCGACGACCTCATGGAGGTTGATGAACCTCCGGCTGTTGGTTCGCTCCAGGATCATCATCCGCGGCCGCCGTCCGGCAGGATTGTCACTGAGATTGATCGGTCGCTGGCGCGGCAGGGAGTAGGCTCGTCTCAACAACTCGGTGAAATCTACCATGGTGTAGCCGCCGCCAGTGGCGTCGAGACTGGGTTCGATCGTGAACTCCTTCCGGCTGCCGTAGCCGACGACGACGTGCGGGTAGCAACGAACGGTGCCGTCGTCCCTATCGAAGTCAACGATCTCGTGGCGCGAGAGATGGCTGAAGATACTCTTGTACTTGTCGACCCAGAAGGGCAGCAGGTTGACGACGAGGAGCTGGACATCCCCGTTGAACCTCCGCGTGCCGATGAAGAGCGGGACGAGCACGTCGGTGAAGTCGTGCCAGTAGTTGCCGGTGAGCCCGCCGAGCTCGATCACCATCGCCGGGATGTTAAGCAGAGTCGTACATTGCGGTGCATGCTCTGGGATGGAAACGGACCTCACCGTGACAGCCTTGAGCCCATCCAAGTACTTCCGTGAGTAGGGCTTTATGGTCCACTCCCGGAGCGGAGCGCGTGGAGAGACAAGCGTGACCGTCGCGGCGGCGCCACCGCGTGCCCGCGCGTCGCCTGCCAGCTCGCAGATGTCGTATTTGCCGAACGACGTGTCGCAGATGGGCTTGGTGCGCGCGACATTGTTGAAGTCATCGGTTCCTCCCCCTGCTCACACAGCCACAACTTACCAGATGTAAATATGTATCAAGATTTGGTTTAAAAAGGACATGAAAAAGGCACAAATTTGGTACCGAATTCAGTGAATTCAACATTGTCCTCCTCCGTTGGTTGGTGTGTTTGGTTCCAATTGTCAGTGTTCCTTTCGTTGCCAACTGGCGTCAAAGCAAGGGGACAAAAGGGAACCTTAGTCTGATTGTAAGGAACTACACAGAAAACACAGACCTGGCCGATCAGAAGGAAGAATTAAGTAACAAGCAAAGACAAAAGAAACATGTATGCCTGATTGTTCCTCGATTAGATTTTTGTCTGCCCATTCCTTCTCATCGCTCTCATGTGCCTCTGTGCCATAAACAAAAAAAGACGATAAGATCGAAATCAGCATCGTATTCAAGAAGAATTTGTCTGCTTGCCTTTCTGGTGTCACGCACCACGGGACTGACGCTTACCTTTGTGGCGGGAAATAGTTGATGGCTCCGTGCGCGGTTCCGCGACCTCCTTGCTGCTACCGAGTTCCTCTATTACCGTGCTCCTGGCATCTAGCCACGAGCAAATACGTAACTCGATTATTGAACACATAATCGAAACGAAATGTTGTACTACTACGAGATTCAAGCGAAGTACTAGTAATCAAAATCGCGCATATGTACCGTGTTCTTGATGGCTTCTTTGTCGTCTTGCAGGAACCGTTTCAGCTGTGCTGATTGTTGTTGCGCTAGCATAAGCTGCCTCTGCGTGTGAGCACAAAAGGATGTTGTGAGAAGCAAGCGGTATAGCAACAATCCCCTGTTCATCGCAATCTCATGGATAGTTCCTCGAGTCTATGCCAACCAGAACTCAAAATTAAAACGAAACAGACGGTGGCGATAGAAATATGAAAGAGAATACCATGCGGGTTACTATAGCTCAACTGTGCAGAGACCATCAAGTAGAGAAGCACGAGCACGAAGCCCAGAATTAGTCCGTGCGCAGCATAGCCACTCTGCTTCCACGACGACGACGGCCTGGCCGTGGTCCTCATAGCCGCCTTTGCTTCGTTCCTCATAGCCCAGAATTAGTCCGTGCGCAGACCAACCATCAATCTGTCTTCAGAAGAGAGTTTTTGACAGGCCGGGGGAAGGGGAGGTTCTTCATCTTTCACAAGAAAGCGAAAAGAACCAAGAGAGCACGCAAGGGCAGCCACGCCAGCTCTATTCATTCTTTTGACTTGTGTATTATAAGATAAGATACAAGTACAACACAACAATCCTTTTTCTTTACCTTTATCTTTTTTATTATTTGGTTACTATCCCGCCTTGATCGATTTTAACTCCGACAAGTTAAGTGCTCTTTTTATTCTATTAGAAAAACAAATCTATCAGAACTTTCGTACTGCCCATGTCTTTCAAGTTGGCATTTAAACAAATGATGACATTTGTTGGTTGGACGTTTTCAGATCCAGTTGATCAAGGGCATCTTTCCCTCTATTTCCCTACATAATCCACATATTGACTGTCGCTAGGCATGTCGCGTGCTCCTTTCGCCATTAGATGCCGAATTGCTGATGGTCCGCGTGTGCGGTCTACACACGTTAGGCATGATGCGTGCTCTGTTTTGCTGTTGGATGCTGAATTGCTGATGGTCCTGCATGTGCGCACCTAGCTCAACACACACGCTAGGCATGTCGCGTGCTCCATTTCGTGGTTGGATACTGAATTGCTGATGGTCCGCGTGTACGTACCTAGCTCAACATGAGAGACAACCTCTGATACAGTGCACGCTATTTCATAACACACTCTAAGATTTTGGATTTTGCGATTGATACAATAAAGCAATACTTTTTTCTAGTATTTTTATGTTTGCCAACATTAGTAAATATCTTTAAAAATTATCAAGAAATGTATTATTTTTTGAATAAAATTAACGAATCACAGGTTATATTAAGGTGTGTTTTGCATCTATCCTGATAATCCTCTCTCTTTTCTATCTAGTGTTTTGTTTGAAAATGAACTTAAAAGATTATGTAATTTTCTTTATGATAAGGTTTTTGAAAAAAAAATCTTAAAAGCTTCCTAAAGATCCTCCGCTAAAACCCATATCTTGCATTGCGAGCTAGTAGCCCACCTTTTTATTGTTTGGCTCAAAATGATCTCTTTCCTTTCTGTAAGGAAAACGACACTTAGCATAGGCTACATGCGGTTTTGGTAGTTTATTGACAACATGATCAAATAGATTAATGTTGTCTGTGAGTATACAAGATATTTACTCAATTGGATGCAAGGGTGATTTGTACAAAGGCAACATGAAGATCAAGTGATCATCAACATTAAAGACCTTAGAAGACGTACCCTATTCACCCTCCTTTAGTCCGCCATCTCGATCTATCACCGGTCTTTGGCTATTGTGAGGGGCTTTGTGCTCATCCCTGCGGGAGATTCACAAAAAACAACTATAATGAAATCAATTGATGTTCGGAGAGGTCTTGTCGGTGTTTCGTAAACCGGACTAGTAAATTTATACGATTGCCGCGCTGCTCTAGGAAGACGATGATAGCATCCAATAGACATGAGGATTTATACTGGTTTAGGCCGGAGCCCTACGTCCAGTCTCAGAGAAGATTGAGCGCGTGTTCTTCGCTTGAATGCTCTGAAAGAGGTGGTAGAACCTATGCTAGACGAAGGGCAGCCTAAAGAGAAGCTCCTAGAGCCCTGCTGCTATGGATGGAATGGTAGAGGATGAAGAATGTGAAGATCTCCCGAGATGGAAGCCCTGGCCGCCCTTATATAGAGTTCGGGGCCGAGGCTCGTTACAAAGAGAAGGTTCCCCCGACCGAAGGATTGAGAGCCTAAGGGAGGTCCTAGCTAACTTGGTTTACAAGCTATGCCATCTTTTGGTGTCCGCCCGAGCGTGGCCGTCATCATGATCTTTTGGCCACGTTGCGGTAGAGCGAGACATGGTGCTACCGTGCCGACTGTGGCGGGCACTGTAGGCACACCGGTGGTTCGTCAGTTGTCCTGTGCAACGCAGCATCCGTCATGGTCTTCGCCGTCGTCTCCAAGTTCCCTGGGGCATCGTACCCATAGCAGGTGGGTGCCCTGGATTGTTGTTCACCTGGTCGCTCTATGGGGCTGAGGGCCAGGACCTCGATCGTCAGGGTCGGGACTTTCAACCGGCCTAGTCAGCCTCTGCACTGAGACCCTTGTCGTGGCTTCCATTCCGTAGTGGGTAGGACCGTATACTTGCCTGGTTGAGCCATACCCGGTCGGTGGTCATCATACCCATTGTTACAGCCTCGAGGCGGTGTTGTCTTGTCTGTGTAGAATGGCACAGGGTTGGCGTCGGACTGGGGTTGAGGTGACTACTGTCACCTTGGTCCTTATGGGGGTCAGTGCGGTGTGCTTGCCCCTATTAAGGTAGGCTCGCTTGGCAAGGCATGACCTCTTTCTATCTCTTCCGGAGGTCATGGCGGAGAGAGGTCGTACGCATTACGAGCATGGTGAGACCGAGGTAGGTGGAAGGGGTCGTGGATAACCCCGACCTCAGCGCCTAGCCTGACCTATTTGGCTTTTGCTGGGCCTCGGTCGTTTGGGCCTTTGTCTGTTGTTGCATTGTGAGCTATGTGGCCCGCCATCTAATCGATACCTCGAGATACCCCGGGGTTATTGAAAGGTCCTAATGGCTAGAGGGGGGGGGGTGAATAGCCTATTAAAATTTCTACAACAACACTTAGCAAACCGGTTAGACAAATATGAGGCGAAGCGAGTGTTGCGCTAGCATACTAAAAATGCAAGCCACCTACCACAATTCTAGTTTCTATAGTCTCTATCCACACAATGGCTATGTCACTACACTAAGTTAATGTGCTCTCAAAGGCTAACTAAAGAGCCACACTAACCAAACTAACAAGCTCTCATGACTAGCTACACTAAAGATCTTGACAACTAGTTTGCGGTAATGTAAATAGAGAGAGCAAGATGGTTATACCACCGAATCAAGGAATGAACCAATCAATCACAAGAATGAATACCAATGAAGACCAATCACCTTAAAATCAAATGATGACACAATAATTTTTTATCGAGGTTCACTTGCTTGCCGGCAAGCTAGTCCTCGTTGTGGCGATTCACTCACTTGGAGGTTCACGTGCTAATTGGCATCACACGCCAAACCCTCAATAGGGTGCCGCACAACCAACACAAGATGAGGATCACACAAGCCACGAGCAATTTACTAGAGTACATTTTGGCTCTCCACTGGGGAAAGGTCAAGAACCCCTCACAATCACCACGATCGGAGCTGGAGGCAATCACCAACCTCCTGTCAACGATCCTCGCAGCTCCAAGCCATCTAGGTGGCGGCAACTACCAATAGTAACAAGCGAATCCTGTAGCGAAACACGAACACCAAGTGCCTCTAGATGCAAACACTCAAGCAATGCACTTGGATTCTCTCCCAATCTCACAAAGATGATGAATCAATGATGGAGATGAGTGAGAGGGCTTTGGCTAAGCTCACAAGGTTGCTATGTTAACGCAAATGGCTAAGAGAGTGAGCTAGAGCCAGCAATGGGGCTTAAATAGAGAGCCCCCACGAATAGAGCCGTTGGCTCTCTGTTCCCTAAAAAGTGGGGGCAACCGGACACACCGATCATATTGACCGGACGCACCTGGACCAGCGCCCGGTCAAAGGATGCACGCCACGTGTCCCCTCCGTTCAACCTCAGTCGCTTGATTTCAACGGTCGGCTATCGTGCGGCAATGGTCAAGTGATGACCAGACGCAGTACAATGAGGATGACCAGACGCTGCTACGCCTGAGTCCGGTCGTTTCTAGAGAGCTCCTCGAGCCTCTGTTTTGTGACCGGAAGCATCCACTCCTGCATGACCGTACATAGACTAGCCAGAGTCCGGCCGTTTCCAGAGAGCTCCATCATATTTTCACAAACATTTTCAAGGGTGTTAGCTTTCCACTAGATCCTAAATGCATATGCAATGAGTTAGAGCATCTAGTGACACTTTGATAACTGCATTTCGATATGAGTTTCGCCCCTCTTAATAGTACGACTATCGATCCTAAATGTAATCACACTCTCTAAGTGTCTCGATCACTAAACTGAAAAGCTCCTATCAATTTCACTTTTACCTTGAGCTTTTTATTTTTCTTTCTTCTTTTCCAAGTCTAAGCATTTGATCATCACCATGCCATCACCATCATCATGTCATGATCTTCATTTGCTTCATCACTTGGAGTAGTGCTACCTATCTCATAATCACTTTGATAAACTAGGTTAGCACTTAGAGTTTCATCAATTCACCAAAACCAAACTGGAGCTTTCAATCTCCCCCTTTTTGGTAATTGATGATAACCCTTACACAAAGATATGAATTAAAATTTAATTTAATTCATGTTGCTTGCCCAAGAATATTTACCATGTGTAAAAGGATATGGACAAGTTTCATGAACCCCAAATGGTAGCAATTGCTCCCCCTACATATGTGCTAAGAGTTTGGATTGTAGCTTGCACATATGCTTAGATAGAAAATATAGGAGACAATGTCTACCAAATGATGCTAAGGTATAAAAGATGGACCTTTGAAGCATGATACCAATCGGAGTGCACTAATATACCATCCTTAGCACCATTAGTAACTAGACATACACAAAAACTAGAATACCCCATGAGATCAACATTAGAAGTAAGGGTCTAGTTTCCATAAAATGAACATAAGTCTAGTTTCTTAATCTATGCATTCTAGTTTTTCATTTCATCATTCAAACCTACAACTAGCATACACCACACAAGCATGGATATTAAAATTTGAAACTTGTGCCATGCAAGCAAATATATAAAATGCACATTCAAATGCACCATACAAGTTCATGAGCTTGCTCCCCCTACTTGTGTGCTTAAAATTTTAATTGATCCATATCTCTTCCCCTATCACTTACATCTTTGTTTCTCTCCCTCTTGTTGTCTTTTCACTATCTTTGTACACTATTTCTCCCCCTTTGTCATCAATGACCACAAAGGTTTAATTTTAAA